ATATTAAAATTGATATGATCCATCAAATTTATGAACCCGACGATCGAAATACTCCCTTATGCTTGCTGTAAAACATACAGTTCTTTTTGAATCACTCTCATTTTTAATCTTTGCAGATAAGGCAATCTGATTTATGGCTTTGAATGTTTTTCTTTTTTAGTTATGGTGGTAACAACATTGACACTCTCATGATTTATGGGACTACTGATGGTGTTGCTTGGGAGATTACCTTGAACTTATTGTGAAAGTACCACACATACATCATGATATAAAATGTGCTGAAAAATAAAATTTGTGAATTCTTCTAAATATTCGTCGTGTTCCTTTTTAGGCAATTTCTTTGACTTCCTCTGACCTACAAAAGACGTTAAACCTTCCCAAAACACCATTATTATTAAGAATACTTGAATTTCTGTAAACTTCATTTGTTGATAAACTTGCAAAACTTACTAAGTTTATTATTCAAAAACACTTAAAGGTTAACAAATTCGATGTAAACTTAAGGTTAAAACATAGTGAAATAGTGACTAATCAGAGAGGATGACCTGTAAGGTTAGCACTCTAATGCTCGAGTCAGTATGTGAGAGAGAAGAGTGAATGAAATTTGAATTTGAAATTGTGTATTGAGAATGACGTATTTTTCATTTATATAAAGGAAGAGTTGTAACAAACTGCTATTTTTTATACGTGAGATGCGGGGAAGTGTTTGGTCAAATAATATATTCATCCAAGTTCCACATCGGGTAGTAGAAAAAAATAGAAATTGAGTATTAATATAAATATAAATAGTTAGTTTTAGTTTTCGACACAACAACAAAATGTAGTCTTTTTGAGTGTTTTGGGGACTTGGGTAGTTTTGTGTTTAGATAGGGTTTCCTATTTTTCCGTCCAAAAATAGTCTGTTGAGAGGGTTTTCTATTTTTCTCTTTAAAAATAGTTTGTTGAGAGGGTTTGCAACTTTTCTGTCCAAAAAAAAGCAATTGAGAGAGAGTTTGCAATTTTTCCGTCCAAAAATTGCAATTGAGCGAGGGTTTGCAACTTTTCTGTCCAAAAAAAGCAATTGAGAGAGAGTTTGCAATTTTTCCGTCCAAAAATTGCAATTGAGCGAGGGTTTGCAGTTTTTTCTTTCAAAAGTTGTAATTGCTAGGGTTTACAATTTTCTCCTTAAAAATTGCAATTGTATGAAATAGTTTGTAATTTTGTCCTTATAAAATTACAAGTTGAATTATAATTTTATGAATTTTTGTTGGAATTATTTGCTTCTTTTTCTTTTTGTGGGTATGCTTCCATGTGCGTAGAAATTTATTTTTTTGTTATTTTTCTAACAACTGGTATCTAGAGACAGAGCTAGAAAATTTGAGTAGTGGGGACAATATTACATATAAATTTATGATAAAATTTTATTTTTATTTTTAAATTAAAAAAATAAATTAAGTGTTTGAAATAATTTATTAATCAATATACTATACTTTATATTTAAAAATAATGAATAAATATGTAAAATTTAAATGTAAAAAGTTATATACGCATGCTTTAAAAAAGTTATATACGCATGCTTTAAAAAATATAGAATATACATATGATTATAATGGTTACATATACATTATGGGATTATGGTGTATATGGTTTTGCATTATTATACTTATATATGGGCATTTGAAACACATAGTAGTATTATATATAAGCTAAAGCTAAGTGGGGACACATGCCTACAATGTTGGCAACGTGGCTCCGTCCCTGCCGATCTCAGAGCTAAGGTTCCGATCAAGGGAGGAAGGAAGAGTAACAATTATTTTGATCAAAGGAGGAAGAAGAAAAAAAGATTGAAGAATAATAATTTTACAAATATTCCTAATCATTATAATTATAATGATCGCTTTGAAGATGAAGTTGAAGACAAAGTGAAGATATGCGAGACTTTGGATGAATGGAGGATTTGTTGGGTCAAATAGTATATTCATCCAAGTCTCATATCAGGTAGTAAAAAAAATTGAATTTGAGTATTAATATAAATATAGATAATTAGTTTTAGTTTTTGACAAAACAACAAAATATAGTCTTTTGAGTGTTTTGGGAACTTGAGTAGTTTTGTGTTTAGAGAGAGTTTCCTATTTTTCGTTCAAAAATAGTTTGTTGAGAGGGATTGCAATTTTTCCGTCCAAAAATTACAATTGAGAGAGGGTTTGCAATTTTTCCATCCAAAAATTGCAAGTGAGGGAAATTTGTTTTTTTGTTATGGAACATCATGAAGGGGAATCATACATATTGGTCAAACACTTACCTAAAGGTTAAAGACTCACCCAAACAAGTGAGAGAGACACCACATATTCACCCAAAGACACCACATATTCACCCAAAACCTTAAGGTGATAGGTGTATGAGTCCTCTTACTTATAAAGTGTTTAACCTCCACTTTTCTAAACAATGTGAGACTTAGAACTCACACTTGTTTTTCCACACAACTCACACTTATTTTCCAACGATCTCCCTCTTAAGTGTGAGTCCATCCACTATGCTCCCCCTCAAGTGGAAGATCTTTTATCCACATGATTATACCGCCATTGAGAGACACCCTTATCTCGTCATGGACACTTCAACAAAACACGCCGTCTGACCAACAGTCAGGAAGATTTTCGACACAAGGAGCCGGTCCCTTACTTGAACCACAACTCTAATACCATTGATGGAACATTACAAGGGGAAATCATACACATTGGGTCAAACACTTACCTAAAGGTCAATGACTCACCCAAATAAGTGAGATAGACACCACATATTCACCTAAAACCTTAAGGTGATAGGTATATGAATCCTCTTACTTATAAAGTGCTTAACCTCCATTTTTCTAAGCAATGTGAGACTTATAACTCACACTCGTTTCTCCAAACAACTCACACTTATTTCCCAACAGGAAGAAGTTGGATGTATGATGACCTTTGAATAAGTTGTTCTTTTCCATAGGATAACTCCCTTGCTTTGTGAATAGTCCGAATGAATCACAACTCATTTCGAATGGTTGACCGATGACCATTATAGTCGGCCCGAAACAAGTACCATATACCATCATCAAATGAAATCTCACATAATATCACTTTACTTTAAACATTTCTAAAAACATATTAGCATATTTGTCTACTTACTTAGAATATTATTAAACGATAATACATTTTTACACTAATATTTTTAGAATTCTCTTTAAATAAATTTGATCTCAACATAATACATTTTTACACTAATATTTTTTAGAATTTTCTTTAAATAAATTTGATCTCGACAGTTGATCGAATCAAGTAAAACTATAAATATCATAAATATACTTCAATATTATTTAGTAATATTCTTCCATCAACACATAGATTCAAACTTTAATAATGTGCGTTCTAATTTAAATTCTTACTAACGATACTAATCTACTTTATTTACGTGCTCTACCTTAAATTTATACTAATGAAAATAATCTAAGTTTTTTTATTCACATTAATTTAAACTCTTATCAACAATATTGATCTATATTTTTCAGTGCGATGTAATTTAAAATTTTACCAACAATACTAATCTAAACTTTTTACGCGCGCTAATTTAAATTCTTACCAACAATATCTATCTATATTTTCTGCACGACGTAATTTAAATTCTTACCAACAATACTAATATAATATTTTCTACACGCACTAATTTAAATTCTTACCAACGGTATCGATCTATGTTTTCCATGAGATATAATTTAAATTCTTACCAATGTTACTAATCTAAGTTATTTTACGCGCGCTAATTTAAATACTTACCAACAATATTGATCTATGTTTTTCTGCGCTATATAATTTAAATTCTTACCATCAATATTAATCCAATACTTTGTATGCGGGTTAATTTAAATTCTTACCAATGGTATCAATCTATGTTTTTTACAAAATGTAATTTAAATTTTTATCAGCATTACTAATCTAATTTTTTTTACTCCCGCGAGTTTTTAAATTCCTACTAATATTACTAATCTAATACTATATTTTTCGCGCGCTAATTTAAATTCTTACCAACAATACCTATTTATATTTTCTGCACGATGTAATTTAAATTCTTACCAACAATATCTATTTATATTTTCTGCGCGATGTAATTTAAATTCTTACCAACAATATTAATATAACATTTTTTACGTGCACTAATTTAAATTCTTACCAACGGTATCGATCTATGTTTTCTATGAGATGTAATTTAAATTCTTACCGATATTACTAATCTGAATTATTTTACTCGCGCTAATTTAAATACTTACCAACAATATTGATTTATGTTTTTTTGCGCTATATAATTTAAATTCTTACCATCAATATTAATCCAATACTTTTTATGCACGCTAATTTAAATTCTTACCAACGATATCAATCTATGTTTTCTACATAATATAATTTAAATTCTTATCAACATTACTAATCTAATATTCATTTTTATTCCCGCGAATTTTTAAATTTCTACCAATATTACTAATCTAATACTATATTTTTCGCGCGCTAATTTAAATTCTTACCAACATTATCAATCTAATCTAATTTTTTTACACGCACTAATTTAAATTCTTACCAATATTATTAATTTAATACTATTTTTTAATACTATTTTTTCGCGCGCTAATTTAAATTCTTACCGTATCTATATTAAATTGCATGTATGAAATAATGAGTATCTTTCAACAAAATAGACATGTAGGACTAGGAGTGTAATTTTGTGTAGGGTTATGTTGTGCGCGTGTAAAGGAATATAATCAAATCTAAAAAATTCAAACAAATTTGAAATCCCTAAAACATAGACGCGGGCTTTTTTTCATTGAACCCCCCTTGTCCAATTTTTTTACCAGAATATTATTTTAATATCTAAATTTTCACATATTTATATCTCTCTTTCACTTTTCTCTCTCAAAATCAACTTCATCAAATCCCTAGAAAACCTAATCTCTCATTTCAGATCTTCATGTTCTTCACTTCACTTCAATTCAATTCATCATGTGTAAGCTCTTTCTCTCTCTAAATTTTTTTTGCTTCTCACTAGCTCGATTTGCTATGCATGCCTATGGTTTCATTTCTGTCTGCAATTGTGCTTAGATCTTAATTCGGTTTCTCTAGTTATCTTGTATATTGGGATTCTTTTAATTCAATCTATGGTTTGCTTCATTTCGTAGCTAACAATGCTAAGCTAGTAGTTTCAATCTATAGATAATTGATGATGAATTGTAATTTTTTGTTTTGTGAAATGTTGTATTTTTATTCTGCTGCTGATAATTGTATTGCTTGCTTAGTTGTTTTTGATTCAGTGTTGGTGTTAGGGGGTGTTAATTTGGATGGTAAATTGAAGTTTTTGGAGCTGAACACAAAAGGGTTATGGGGTTGTGATAGGTTAGATTGTTAGAGGAAGGGAATGGTTCAATTTGTTTGTGAGAGATGCGGTTTGAGGTTTTTAGTCTCTTCTAATTAATTGTTTTTGCTTGATTGCATCAATTTTGACTTCAAGTTGCACTAATTTTGACTTCAAGTTGCACTAATTTTGACTTAAATTTTGTGCTATTTCTTCATTTAAGGCTGATTTGAATATAAGTTCTTTGATCTGTTTGCATGCTGATAACTGTTTTAGCACAATAAATTTGAGATAAACTGAAAAGGGGTTGTGACTTGTGATAGCTAAGATATTAAGAGGAATGACATGTTTTGATTTGTTTTTGAGAGTCAGATGATTTGCGGTTTTCAGATTCTTCTAATATTTGTGCTTGATGACTACACCAATTTTGACTTCAAGTGATGATCTTTATTCATATACTATTGATCTGGAATTATGTTTTTTGATCTGTCTGCAAGCTGACAACTATTTTATTTTGATTATTATTCACAGCAATTGAGTCTCTGCCTGATGTGATTCTTCAATACATATTGTCGCATATCAGTAACGGACGTGATGTGGCGTATTGCAATTGTGTTTCTAAGCGATGGAAGAACTCGTTGGCTTATATCAGATCTCTCTGTTTTACTCGCAACGCATTTGATAACCCTCCTCATGATGAAGATTCTGACATCATTGTGAGAAGAATGGTATCAGCTGTTGAGCGATTAGAGGAGCTAATTGTTTTCTGCCCTTTCACCCCTTCCGGCCTTGCTTCATGGCTAGCACTTGCAGGTCAGTCTCTTTCTTATCTCGAGCTTCGAATGGACAACCTTGGCGACAACGCGATTGTTCATGAGAGCCCGTCAAAATTGGATTGCATTGGTGCAGCAATGAATTTGGAAATTCTGAAACTGTGGGGTGTCTTGATTGAACGAATCCCTAAATGGGATGAGTTCCATAATCTTAAAATCCTTGAAGTTGTTGGGGCGAGATTGGAGGATGCTGCAGTGAATGCAGTAATTCGGTCGTGTCCAAATCTGACAAAGTTGTTACTGCTTGGGTGTGAAGGCGTCCAATCAATTTCAATTGACCTGCCATTTTTAGAGGACTGTAGGCTGGATTTTTATGGTCTTGGAAACTGTTCGCTTTCGCTCACTGCCCCTAAGATTGAATCTCTTGAGGTACAAGGCTGTAGCTGGATTAGGGTCCCTGAAACCAAGCATTTGAAAAAGCTTTCAATTTCCAATAGTGCAGGTAGTTGACTTGAATGGTTAAAGTGATTCTTGTACTTTTGAATTTCTTACTGGCCTTTGGTTTTTCTATTGCTCCCGTGTAATTTACTAAATTATCAGCTTTGTCAATGTCAGCTCAATTTAATTTCTTTCTTGTTAATTTCTTACAGGGAGAGTTTACATGATTGATTTTGGAAAGCTTACAGCCCTGGAGACCCTGTCGATGCGGGGCATTCAGTGGTGCTGGGATGCAATATGTAAGATGCTGAGATTGGCAAGTGATGTGAAACATCTTTTTATGAAGGTGGAATTCACTGGGGACTATGATGCTCTTCAACCCTTTCCAGAGATTGATTTTGTTGACTTTTTCAACAGCCATCCCAAGCTGCTCAGGTTTGATATCCATGGGGCCATGTTTGCAGCACTATGCCAGAAGAACAGTCTAAAACATGTAAGCTTATGTTTGGAAACTTAATTTCTCGCACTCAAACATATTATAACTGTGATTTCAATGAATCTACAAACTGCAGCTTTTGGAAGGATGCGTGTTGAAAATGAAATGACTGAAAACAAACAGGCTTTAAATTCATAATAGCTTTGATCTTTAAAATCTGTGTGTGCGCGTATGTGCTGTGTTCTATATCATCTTCTCTAAACAATGCATTCTTTTATTTTACAGGTTGATTCTGACTTTGTGATTCCATGTTTGGAGGAGGTCTTAATCACTGTGAGATCACCATTGAATGCTGAGCAGAAAATGAGTACTCTTGAGTCCTTGTTGAGGTATGGGAAAAATTTAAGAACCATGGTTATCAAGATTCTTCAGATGAAGGGTTCACATAACAGTGCTGATGATTTTTTTGACGAGATTTGCCGGTTTCGACACATGCACCGTGAGATCATTCGAATAGAATAAAGATTGATGCAATATGTTGATGCAGTTTTTAATGCGGAGCGTTTCATGCTGATTTTTAGTTTCCGCTGAACTTCTGAATTGGTTATGACTTTACTTCTGTGGAGTTAATTTATTGTTTTGTATGTCATTTAAAACTTGATAATCTCTTTTCATTAAACTTTTGAGAATAAAGAGTTTACCTCCTCTCCCATGACTGTCAAAGCACAGTAAAACAATGTTGTGGAAATTATTTGGATCGAGTCATAGTCCTGGATAGAACATTATGATGGAAGTTGATTCATGTAGCTGATCTCATTTAGTGGTTGTTGTTGTACTAATACTTGGTAGATAATCAAGTTTATTCAGGAGGAGGACAAAAATAATCAAAGGTTTGGTAATGAATTTGTGCTGACCAAGAATATGTTACAAGGAAACTATTTTAGAGACTTTGTAGCCAAAATGGGTGCCAAGAGCAATGGTCCATTGGTGTTTCTTGATCCACCTCCTACAGAGATGGATAGTTTACTGCTTGCTGATGCCATGGGTATGAGTTTGTGAGGCATTAAGTCCTAGTTTCTTTGTCTTGTTTTATGCCTTTTCTTCTTGTAACAAAAAATAATAATAATTGAGTTTCAATTTATATCTGGAATCTCATTGTAAGCTCATATTTTGAACTTACATTTGCCTTTTTCATTTTTTTAATAAGTTTGTTTGGTAATTGTTATTTTCTCCTTTTGCCATCCAAGAATGTGAGGTGGTTGAAAGAAATATTATGGTGCTTAACGCGCGAGGGTAGAATGAATGATTGAGACATTAGTTTGAAAGTTGTTTGAAACTATATGGGTACAGAACTTAATTGGGGAGCGCAAGCATAAGACTTCAGGTTCTCCAACTCCATCATTGTGAGGAAAATCATTGTTTAGGTCTGGATCAAACATAAGGACGTAATTTAAAAAAAGGGCGGCTGTTTTCTTTTTGTGTGGTGTGGTGTTCCTCTACCTTATTTATAGGATTCAAAAATGTATTTTTAGACGCAGTTCATTTTATATAAAGTTGATTCACTTTAGTGAAAAATCAAAACTACTTGTGGAATTTGAAAATGTACTTTCAGACGCATCTCCAATTCACACAATTTATTTGTAAGTGAGTTAGATCCTAATTTGTGACAAAATTTGATACGGAAATGCATGTCTGTGTATACTTTGGAAGTGTATTTCTGAAAACTACCGAACCAATAACAAATGTAGAAACGAAACAGATGTAAAGTCATAGATAAATTAACATTCAATAATTGTTATGACATACATCAAAAACAACGTTACCTAGATAATCTTCAACGTAAAACAAACAATACATTTTATTATCAAGTAGGACATTTTAACATCTTTAAAATATTTTCATCGATCTCCAAATCTTCGCATTCAACTTGATCAGACCTTTTGTTTCGTAACCGTGAAATGTATTCCACATAATAGTTCAAATTTCGCTCAAACTCGCTGAATTGTTTCTTTCTATCACTGTCAATAAAGGATGAATGATAATAGAGCTTCACAACTTTTTGATTTTCGTGGTACAAATTCTTTAGTTTTGATTTTAAATTGACAAGACAGGTGATCTCTAAGAACCTAAGTTGAATATGGGGTTTCTCATTGTAACACCTCAAAATTTGCCTTTTCGTTTTAACCGTAATTGACTTATGGTTCGTTCATTTATGCATTACCATTGTGCATATCATGACATTGGCTCTCGAGTCATGAGATCAAGTTGTTTCTATGGCTCAAAGTTTTCTTTTATTCCAAGTTTGCAAGTAACAAGCATCAGAGGCTTCACTAGTTATTTTGTTCAGTAATCGAATACCGAATCATATTTTTCAGCAGTTTATTTCGAGCGCAGGAGACATTTCATAGTGTATTTCAGGCATTTTATAAGTGCAATATCAAAAGACAAGTTTCAGGGGGAAAACTATCCTCAGAACAAGTGGAAACGAGTGATTTTTCAAGATTCCCTCCAAAAGGCGTCAAAATTCAAATTTTCCTTGTGTTAATCGATTAACACATTTGAACTGGCAAATGCTTAATCAATTAACCAAGGAAATTTTTTGCCCAAATGCTTCAATTTTCAGCACTGCAGAATTTAAACCAAATTTCCACCACTTGATTTCACATGTGCATCATTGGAAGGATCTAGAATGAGTTTATTTTAATTCATTTTCATAATTTAATTCCACCAAAATTTCAAATTCCCATTCCTATTCCCATTCCATTTCCATTTCATTCCTATTTCTCTCACTAACCCACAGTCCAAATCTAACCTAACCCATAACCTAGGGGTTATTTAACCAAATTTACTCCAAATCCCACTCATTCACTCTCATTTTCACCCTTATTTTCAGAATTTGCTCTCAATTCTCTCTCACTTTTTCAATCTCCATCTTCATCATCTACCTTTCACCAAAGTTTCATATTCATAGATTCACAAAATGTGCATTACAATTTGTGAACTCTTGCACTAAACCTCCACTACTTCATCATTCATGGTTCAATTATGCATTTGAAGCTTGTTTGGATCTAAATTCAAGTTTTGGAAGTCATTCTTGAAGAAGCTTGAAAGCAAGTTAATCGTATTGCTTGGATCTTGAGGTTTCTTGCTAGGATCTTGGATTTCTTGTGTTAGATTTGTCCATTTTCCTTTGCAACATTCACCATATCAATTCACTGCTTTGTAGGTTAGTAAATTTCAGATCCACACTTGATCTAGCTTAATTTCAACTTATGCAATGTATAACCTTGGTTTTTGATACGATTTGGTCCATTTTGCTTGAATTTGATTGTTGTTGTTGATGATTATTGGACCTAATTGATGCTTGATTGCTGTAACTCCATGTAATTTTCGTACATAATTGATTGCTTGATCATTTGGATGCTTGAACATGTGTTTCGCTGCTGAAAAGTAATTTTAAAACTTGATTTTCTGCTACTGGAACAAGGTCAGTCGATTAACCAATTACAGTTCAAATTTGGTTAATCGACTAACCAGTGTAAATTTGCTCATTTTTGTGTTGTTAATCGATTAACCAAATTTGAACTGTAAATGGTTAATCGATTAACACTGATGTAAAATGTGATTTTTGTGCATTTTTAAGCTTGTTGTAATTCCTTTCCACTTTTAATCTTCATGGATTGATACTATGCATATATGTGGACTGTTCTTGAGTTGTTTTACCTCACATGATAGTTTGAATGTGATTCTTCGACGCACGACTTTTGGTTTCCGTAACACATGTACACGATTCGTTCATTTTGCATTCTTGATGTGATGATCATGTTGCATAATCCTTTGTGCCATTGTGATTGCTTGTTCTTGGTGTTTACATTTCTGGAAATATGATTCACGTTCATGTTTTGTTTCCGATTCCATGATTGTATGTTTGCTTCAAGCGATTAATTGTTGAATTATCCATGATGCTTTTGATGAATTCTTAAGTATGTGATGCCGTTGAAACTTGTTCATGCCTATTTGTTTATGCTTAATTATCTACACATGTGAATCAATTGCTCTTGCTTGATGCTTGTCCATGTTTGCAATTCATGCGTGTCTGCTTAAATGTGAAGGCATGTTTTTGATTTTTTCTTCGATGCATGATTATGCTTGGTGGTGAAACATGTTCATTATTGATTGATCAATCTTGGATGCATACTTGATATTGTGTTGTTACATGATTGTATATGATTGATGTCTATCCATATGCATTTGTCTTGATGCATTGTTGATGTCTTTCACAACTGTTGTTTTGGAGTTTAACATGCTGTTAAATGTGCACATGTTCTGCCTTGCTGCCTTTTACACTTGTTCCTGCTTGAAAACAGGCGTTGTTAAAAGCTGTTTTGCTTGTGTGCTAGATTTTATTGATGTTCTAAGCTGGAAGTGCTGTTGTAGTTGCTGTTTTTGTTTTGTTTTCTTTGCTTTGGTTTGTTCTTGCATGCTCCCTTGAGGCCTCCTAGTCCAACTTAATTTTTTTATTAAGCTTGGAGTAGGATATATATTAGGAGTTTAATCCATGCATGATAACAATAGGTTAGTCCCTTTTAACCTTAACCTTAGGTCCATCTTTTGCATGCTAACATTAGGATAGAATTTCTTTTTGCATCCCAACCTTAGGATCACTTTGCATGACAACGTTAGGACCAAGTTTCCCCTTTGACCTTCTGTGCGTCTTTCTCTTCTTCTCTCTCAAAATAACATCAAAAAACGTAATAAAAACGAGGAACTTTGTGCGCCACGAGCCTTAAGTATATGAGAAATGATGAGTGAGGGGTCTCTCCTTGCTTCGTCTAAAGTGTTTAGGGTACGCCCCGTTTGGGGGTGACCATGCAATGCATTTGCTCCTATATCATAGACTTTAGTGCAATGTGAATCTCAAATCAATTCAATTCACTTCTCTAAAACTCACAAACAAATTCAAATCATTTTCATCCTTTAGAATCGTTTTCCAAACCATTTTCAGAAAGAGTATGTTATTTTTCTGTTCTACCGCAAACAAGCATCGACCCTAACTGCTGGAGTGAGAACTTAACGTCGCTCATAAAGAACACTAAGCAACCTATAGTGATCTGAACTACAACTTCTATGATTTCTCATTTCAGATGAGGATACGTTGGCACAAGACATTAATGTCTTGGCGAGCAACCTTCCCCCTTTCACCTATAGTTTTCCGAACTACGTTGAATCTGACATTCCCATTGCACGAGGGAATACGTAGGCATAGGGCGGTGAAGTCCTATTGAGTCTCTTATTTTGTTTTCCCTTTTAATTCTTGCTTTCATTTAGCAGTAGGCTTTAGATAACACATCCTTTGATTAGTCAACAATCGTGCATCCCGTTGGGTACAACAGACGTGAAGGGGTGATAATACCTTCCTCTCGTGTAATCGACTCCCGAACCCAAGATTTGCTTGCAACGACCATGTCTTCTCCCTTATTTGAGGTTTTCTTAGATCGTTTACTTTCCCTTCATCGGGATAA